TACTTTGGGTCTCTGCCAACTGTCCTGAAGAAACAACTGCCCTTGGCTTCACGTTTTCTAGCTTACCCTCCCCACTCCCAACCAGAGTTAGAGAATAACAATTATTTTCTTAGCGAACACCGCTCCTAAGTAAACCCAAGCGGGACCTAAGCAACTGTGCATTTGGGACCTGTGGAGTCTTTTTCATATCTTTGTGAGTTTCCTTCCTTTGATCACAGAAGAACAGTGCCTCCAGATTTGTACCGCCTTAGAGACTGTCTGTGAGGACAGGGTCATTGCACACATAGACATCAGGCCTGGGGGCTGGGTGGGAGATGGCTTTTTGGTTTATGTTTTGTTTTAAACTACTAACCCCACTCTAGACTTTTTTGTACTTAATTTGCCACCATATTTTCTGATGTATCAACAAAAGGAAAACAACGTATTTCTATTTTGTCTCTCTTGTTCTCCAAAATGCTCTTTGTTTATTAAAAATGTAACCAGTTCCTGTAGAGTCTAATTTACCTGTCTGGGGACCACCCAAACCATTGATCCCCTCCTCCTCCTCCCCCTAATCTTTCTTACATGAGGACAGTTCACTGTGCAGTGGCCCCAGCTGGGGTATAAAGAAGGGGACCAGGTGGCAGTGGATCTGCCCCTGTGTCAGCACATACTAGATCAGCATTCAGAATCTGTGCAGAATGCAGGTCTGAGCCTAGAACCCATTAGCTTAAAACAGGGACTGGCAACTTTTTCTGTAAAGAGTCAGATGGTACATATCTTAGTCTTTGCAGGCTGCGCTGCAGTTGTGTTTGTAGCGTGAAAGGTGAGCAGCTCCTATGTATGTGAGTGGCTGTGGCTGTGTTCCAATAAAAACATATTTACCAAAATGGGCAGAGGGCAGATCTGGTTCAGGGCTGCAGTTTGCCAACCCCTGACTTAAAACCCTTCAGCGTTGCACCTGTGCCCTCAGACTGAAACCTACACTCCTAGCCCATGTGCAAGGGCCATGTGCTTTGGTCCCTCTCACATCTAGCACACTTTCTGCCTCCTGCACTGGCTTCTAGCCCCATTGGGTTGTTCCTGGCTCTCAGACTTGTCTCACTCCCTCTCACCTCGAGAAACCCATGCAAGTTGTTCCTTTTGCCTTAAACGTCTTCCAAGCCCCTCTCTGCACACACTTACGTGCGATTTACTCTCCAGATCTCAGATGAAGCTTGTCTAACACGTCTCCCTTAATCCCTGAGCCTAAGTGAGGACTCTTGACAGCAAATGACAGCAATTAAATTTCGTTCCCCTGAGGCATTACAAACAAATGACGTTGTTTGGCTGAAATCAACAAACTCTGGATAGGGCTAAGAGGAAGTGAGTTTAGGCATGACTAAAATCAGAGATGCAATGAGTGACATAGTTGATGTATAATGTACTCATCTTACAGCAGATAGGTGGGGATGTCTCCTAAATCTGGTGGCCTCACTGACTACAGCATAGCTGAGAAACTGAAATAACAAGGGCCTTTGAAAATCAAAAAGGAGGGTAGCAAATGCTTTGTATTAAAACAACAACAACAACAACAAACCACATAAACCCAAAAAGCTTTAATTGTATCATAGAACTTTTCAGATACTAAATCAGAGCCTATTTACTTTTGGTTTAGGCACAATAACAACAAGTTTATTTGTCAAGTTTCCCAGGCTATAGCAGATTAGAAACAGTTTATTTATTTATTTTGTTGTTTTACTGGGGTCAAGAGGAACTGCCAGAAGCAGACACATGGACACCAACTTGGAACGACATTTAAATGACAAGGAAGGTAGAGAAGGAAACTTTCAGAAAGCAGAGGGGGCTGGGGCCATTTAGTGATAAAGAAAGTACTTACATTCTTCAGTAGGTACCAAGGACATCAGTGCTTTCTAATACCTAATAGCAAAATGTATATAATGTTTATTATATGCCAGGCCCTGTTTGAAGCACTTCTTGGGAATTATTTAATCTTGCAATAACTCTATCAATGAATGTTACTATCATTACCATTTTATAGGTTATATTAGTTATCTATTACTGTGTAGCCAAAAGTTCGTGGCTTAAAATAACAGACATTTATTTTCTCATAGTTTCTGTGGATCAAGTGGCCACTTGTGGCTTAGTTGGTCCTCAGGTTCCATGTCTCTTGTAAGTCTGTGATCAAGGTGTTGGCCAGGGCTGCAGTGACCTCAAGGCTCGACTAGGGAAGAACTCACTTCTGAGCTAGGTCATGTGGCTGTTGGCAGGTTTGGGTTCCTTGTGGCTGTCAGACCCACATGGCAGCTCATAATATGGCAACTTGCTTCATCAGAATGAGTGCATGAGAAGAGAGTCAGAGACTGAGCAAGATGGGAGCCACAAGCTTTTGTTACCTTAATTTGAAGATGGCATCCTATTGCTTTTGCTGTATTCTGTTTAAGATACAAAGCCTAGCCCACACTCCAGGGGAGGGGATTACAGAAGAGCATGAATACCAGGAGACAGGAACCACTGGAAACCAGGTCAGTAGCTGCCTACCATGTATGAAGAAACCAAGACACCAAAAGTCATGGACCTGGCCTAGGGCCACATGGTTAATAAACTAGAGCACCTGGAAATGAGACCCAGGACTTGTGCTTGTAAACACCAAGTCACCCTGGGCAATTAGATTTGTATAAGCTCCTGGATGATTTTAATGTGCAGTTGAGACTGAATGACAAGCCTAGCCTTTCACAAGCTTCAGTGTGTGCACAACTCATCTGCGTTCTGGTTAAAATGATGATCCTGATTTGGTGGGTTTGGGGTGGGGCCCGAGATTCTGAATTTGTTTTTTTTTTTAAGATTTTTTTTTATTTATTTGAGAGAGAGAGAATGAGAGAGAGAGAGCACATGAGAGGGGGGAGGGTCAGAGGGAGAAGCAGACCCCCTGCCGAGCAGGGAGCCCGATGCAGGACTCGATCCAGGGACTCCAGGATCATGACCTGAGCTGAAGGCAGATGCCCAACCGACTGAGCCACCCAGGCACCCCGAGATTCTGAATTTCTAACAAGTTCTGGGTGATGCTGATGCAGCTGGTCCGTGGACCACACTTTGAGTAGCAAGGGCCTGAAGGAACAACTTTGGGCTGAAAGTTAGGCAATTGTTTTTCCACTTATGGTTTTTCCTCAAGCTGGTGGTAAATGGACCAATCATTTGACCTTTCTGATTTTTAAAAATCATGTATTCATTTTTTCATATATGCATTCATTCATTCATTCATTCACATTCAGTGTTCGATAGCCATTCATCCAATAGCAGCCAATATTAATTTTTAAGCCCTTTGTTTTATCCTGGTTATAAACATAAGAGCAATTCTTGTCTTTCAGGCTTGATGGAAATGTTACTTCCTATGGAAACGTTCCCCTACTCCCAAAACTGCCTTCAGATGTGCTTACATGATATCTTCTGTATCTTCATCACTACACTCACATTGCATTATAACTGCTCATGGTCACTGCTACCCCATTTGATGGTTTTATGTGAATTTTAATTTTTTTTTAAGTAGGTTCCATGCCCAAGGTGGGGACTGAACTCATGACCCTGAGATCAAGAGTTGCATGGCCTACCAACTGAGCCACCCAGGTGCCCCCAGTTTTATATGAATTTTAAAAAGACATCCCTTTTTCAAGACTCTGTATGTTTATCTGCAGGAAAACTCAATAAAATATTCAGGTCTGGGATGTATGTGATGTTGATGATAGCTTTGAAGTTGTGCACTGTCCCTCACCTTTGTCCCTCCCTGTCCCCCACACTAGATGTCAGCTCTGGGGCTGGGACTGTGTCTGTTCCATCTTTCTATCCCCCAGGGCCTAGCACAATGCCTAATGTGTGGTAAGCATGAAAAAAGTATTTGTTGAATGAACAAATGTTTATTGTAGAAAATATTGAAAAGGAAAAATAAAAAAATCAAGCACCATCCTATTTCACAGAGGTAACCTTTGCCAATGGTTCATTGTACTTCCTTCGGTCTTTTTTCCATTCATAAATATGTGCGTCATCCATATCTATATTTGCATCCGTATATGTAACTTTTCCTCTCTTTCTTTTGAGTGATAACAGCCAGCATTTACTGCCACTGTGCTAAGTGCTTGGGAAGATCCATTGTAATAAGCCCCACTCGTTGCCACTAAGCTCCTGGGAACTTAGAGTCTGGGGACAGAGTTGGAGTCATGGCTAACAAGGCACAGCTGTCATGAGGCTTGACAGTTTGAGATTTAGCCTGGCATCTTCAATATGCAGTGGGGAGAGCAGCCAGTCTGAGTGCTGCCAGAAGGGGTGGGACAGAGCCGAGGACCTGACCCCAGGGCCACCCCTACTGGGACCCTCTGACAGCCAACACTGTTCTCCGCTTGATAAGAGCAATTCTATTCTGAAAATCCCTCAGAATAGGGCACATCATCCAGAGCTGAAACACACTACTACTTTTAGTGGGGAAGAAATATTTTCATTGCAAACCTTCAGATTGACCTCCATTCTGTTAAAAAAACAAAACAAAAACAAATAAAACAGTACAACCACCAAATCCCATTAAAATGTGTGAAATTACTTCATTTGTTAATTTAGCCTGACAAAGCATTGCCCTTCATCAGTTACTCTCTATAATGTGTCTGTTTACTTGCTCTCATTAATCCATTATACAGAGCATAATTAAGACTTTGCTCTTGAATTATAGTTATGATACCAAATTTTTAAACAATTCAGTCTTTATTTATTTATTTATTTAAAGATTTTATTTATTTATTTGAGAGAGAATGAGAGAGAGCACATGAGAGGGGGGAGGGTCAGAGGGAGAAGCACACTCCCTGCCGAGCAGGGAGCCCGATGCGGGACTCGATCCCGGGACTCCAGGATCATGACCTGAGCCGAAGGCAGTCGCTTAACCAACTGAGCCACCCAGGCACCCAACAGTTCAGTCTTTAGTGCAAACACATAAAGAAACTCAAACAGAGCAGTAGGGATGAAAGAAATCAATTAAAGCGAAAAATCATACTACACTCTCTGGAGAGGTGACGCGTCATCTTTGTGTAAGGGCCATGCTAATCTTCTCTGTATCGTTCCAATCTTAGTACGTGTGCTGCTGAAGCGAGCACTACAGTCTCTGGAGAGGTTGATATCACTGGGCTTAAGGGACAAGATTGTGTCCTTTATAAATGAGTAGACCACCTGGATTCTGAGGGGGAAAATTCAGTGAGATGTGTGCTAACTATACAATTGCCAAAATGGCCCCGTGGTCTCTCTGGACTGTGGCACCCAGCTACCTGCGAGGGGAGCAAAGGGCCAGCGGATCTTGCACAGTGCAAAGGTCCAAGTAGCTGAAGGAGGGCTACTGAGTAAAACTGGGTTGATAAGGTGAATCTAATGTCATGTCTGTATAATTATACCCATGTTGTACCAGAGGCCCCCAAATGTAATAAAAAAATGAGCTACTCTTTCTCTTTTGATGCTGTTACCTCCAAACCTATTCCTCTGTGTGTTCTTCATCACAATAAATGGCACCGCCTTCCATCCAGTTACTCAAACTAAAAACGTAGGTGTCCTGTTTGTGATAGTTAAGTTCATGTGTCAACTTGACAGGGCTGCAGGATGCAAAATTATCTGGCTAAACATTATTTCTGGGTGTTTCTATGAGGGTGTTTTTCCAGAAGGGATCAGTATTTGAGTTGGTGTTGACTTGAGTAAAGTAGGTGGTTCTCCCTAACGTGGGTGGGCACCATGCCATCCACTGAAAGCCTGGATATTACAAAAAGCGGAGGAAGGTTGAGTCTGTGCTGTGCCTGGGTACTTGAGTGGGACATTGACCTTCTTCTGCCGTCATCACTCCTGGTTCCCAGGCCTTGAGACTCAGACTGGAATCCACACTCCAGCTCTGCAGCTCTCTGGGCTCCCAACCACACACCTGGATTTTCTGGGCCTCCAGCTTGCAGAAAGCAGATTGTGGGACCTCTCAGCCTCCAAAATCATGTGAGCCAATACCTTCTAATAATTCTCTTTCTATATCTCACTATACCTATAGGTTCATATCTATCTCATTTGTTCTGTTTTTCTGGAGAACCCGGGCTCGTACAGTCTTGATTCTTCCCTTTCCCTAATCTCCTCCATCCCATTTATCAACAGGCCCTGATAATTCTACCTCTAGAATATATCTTGAATGGATCCCCTCCTCTCTGTCTCTGCTGCCACCTGCCCAATTCAAGCCACCCTCACCTTTCTGAACATCCTGGAGCAGTGCAATAGTCTCCCAGTTGGTCTCTTTGCTTCTTCTTTTATCCCTCTCAAATCTATTCTTCGCAATGCAATGCTGTTGATGAAACGCAAATTAGATCACACCACTCCTCTGTGTAAACCATACCTTAAATTTCCATCAAACTTAGAACAAAATCCAAACTCTCACTGTATCCCCCAGTCACCATGTGATCTGGCCATGGCTAACTGTTCTGCTTTCATCTTCCACCACTCTCTGCCTGGCTCACCACATTTGGGTGGCTATATTAGTTACCTAGTGCTGTGTAACAAATTACCCCAGGCTCACATAAATGACAGCAATCAGCGTTGAATGCCTCACACAGTTCCAGTAGGTCAGGAACTGAGAAATGATGGAGCTGGGTGGCTCTGGTTCAGGGTGTCTCATGAGGCTGCCATCATCTGGAGGCTTGACTGGAGGACCAGCTTCCAAGGTGGCTCATTCACTTTGCTTTTTTCGCAGGAGCCCTTAGGTCCTTTCCATGTGGATCATTCTGTAGTGCTGCTTGAGTGATCCAAGAGAGCACAACAGAATCTGCAATGCCCTTTATGACCTAGGCTTAGAAGGCACATTCCTTCAGTTTTGCAACATTTTATTGGTTACACAGACCAACCCAATTCAATGTGTGGGGGAGCTACATAAGGGTATGAGTATCAGGAGGTGAGACTCACCTGGACCCATCTTGGGGTCTGGTTAGCCCCCAGCACTCCTCTCACACACCAGACTCTTCACACACCATGACACAGTGGTTGCTGGTCACTCTATTCTCCTTCCTCCACACTTTACTAAGCCTGACTTTTCCCTCAACATCTACACCAAATTTTAAGTATCTCTTTCTTGGAGAACTCTTCCCCAAAAGCCACATCTTGAGGAGATACTCTATGCGTCCCCCACCCCTAGTGTTTAGTTCATAGCATCCATGGTAATCTGTAATGGTATTCTTTATGCACTCATGCGTTTAGGGATTTATTTTCTCCTTCCTTACCCACTGAATGTAAACTTCAGGAATAGCTGGGGTCTATTGTGACCCCAGATCCGAGCACAGTATCTGGCAAATATGAAGAACTCAATAAATATCTGCTGAATGAATGATTTTTAAAAATTAAGGCTATGGTAGGATGGCTATTTTTCTCTCCTTCATTTGATCAAAAGTTTTCTCTTGCAATTAGGATGGGGTCTGGGGATAGGGTGGGAGCAAAGGAAGGAAACTAGGAGGTCCTGGCTGGAAGGAGATTGAGGGCTGGGCTGAGAGAAGAGGATACCAGAATGTGGCTCCCCCTTTCATGCTCACCGCTGGTCCCCACAAAAGCAGGACTCAGAGACAGCTGCCTATTACCACAAGCCCCACTGGGCAGCACTAATGTTTTATTCTGACTCCAGTAGAAGGGGATCTTCATTGGGATTTCAAAGGAGGTAAGAGACTTTCTAATTCTAGCTTTTGCCAGAAAGTAGAATGAGAAGGTGAGACAAGGTCACATTCATCTTGAGTGGCTGGGAGGTAATAATGGGAATGACTGGGATGTGTGAAGGGGGAGACCCAAATTCTCCATCCTTTTCCCGTCATTTATCTCTAGAGTATCCCATCTGGGAGCATTCAGAGCCAGGCAGAACAATGTGAGGAAATTTGTAGAATGTTATCGCTGCACTTTGCCAAATAATTGGTAAGCCCTACGGGGCTGGTCCAGCCTCTGCTTTGACTTGAAGCCTCACTTGGAAGCTGGGGAGGAAAGCTCCTCAGTGGAGCTTGGGAGTCCAGTCCTAAAGCTCCCATACTGTCTGTGCTTGAGGCAGGGGGCCAGGGCCAGGGCTGCTCAGTGGCCAACTCAAATTTGAAAGGTGTCGCTGGGATGTTTCTGTTCAGCCAGGAATCACATGGCTTCCTTAAAGGCCTTGTCTGGGCCCCCAGAGAAGCCTTGTCTCTGTGCATGGTGTTAAAGTATAATTTTCAAAAGGTTAAAAAAGCATGACTCTAAAAACAAAAAAAAAGACTCATGCAAATACGAAAGGAATACATGTCAAAGATTTTATTCAACTCATTAATTAATTAAAGAACCAGAAATATGTTGAAACCTGTCCAAAGGGCATTTGAAAAGCTAGGGATATGTACATACCTGTGTGTGTGTGTATAAAAAATATATATATGTATAATATATGTATATATGTGTTTATATATGTAAATATGTATATATTATATATATTTATGATATAATTATAATTACATGTTATAACAGCATGTTATATAATTACAGTTATTATATAATATATAATATGCTATATATAATTATGTTTTATAACATAATATATAATATATAAACATATGCATGCATGTATATATCCCCAGCCTCTCAAATAATAATAATTATATAGAACATCTAATATGTATAATATATTTGATATAGCATAATTATATTGCACACACACACACACACACTGCTGGGTTAAAGTCTGGTAGGGCCATACATTGCAATCTATGGGGTGTCTGCTTCCTGGACTTAAATTATTTGCACCTCCACCAGTCAAAATTCTACAAGTTAACTTGTGCCCTTACAGAGTTGTAAAATAGCTCAGGAACTAGAAAGTCAAGACCAGCGCTGCATCAAAAGAACACTCAGTAATCTCTTTTATCTATTTCCAGGATTCAGATAATTTTTCTGATAATAGATTCCAGTGGAAGCTCCATTCTCAGGGTGATTTGATGGCAGCTGAAAGGTGCCCCCTACCAAAAGTTTATCATGCCAGCCAGTCCTTTCTGTATTTCCAAGTCTGTACTACATGCAAAAATAGTTAACATTTATTAAGCACCTACTCTGTACCAAACACATTGCTAAGTACATTACATGGATAGGCTTATATAATCCTCACAGCAAATCGATTATTCTTATCTTCCTTTTGCAGATGGCAAAATGAAGCTTAGAAAAATTCAGTAATTTGCTCAAGGTCACACAGTCATCTAGGAAATGGTGGATCCAAGATTCGGAGGCACGCAGTCTGATTCTTGAACTCCAAGAAGGTGTCCTAGACACTGAGAGTTATAGAGAGATCGGTTATACACCGTCCCTGCTCAAAATAATCTTGGAAAGGTTAGTTTCCTACCAATGCAAAGCCTCATATTTTACCTACAAAATGAGATATTACTGATGTCTTCACCAAGTTTACTGTGAGGATAAGTGAAATAACGTGGAAGTACAGTGTAGACTCTACATCAGTGGACAGGCTGAGGTTATTACTAAGGAACCTGTTATTATCAGAGTTGTTCTTTGTGCTCTTGGTAGCATGGACATTTCCATGGGGAATATGGAATTTGGGTTTTTGATGAGCCAGGGTCAATGATGAGCTGTTTCTGGTTATCACCAGGACTGGGAAGAGGATGGTACAAAATTTAAATTGGTGCCAAGAAGCTCAGTAATCAAGATATAAAAAATTTTAATACAAGTTTTTTTTTAAATCAAAATTAAGGTGAAAAAGTCCATGATGAACAAAATACAAAAAATTTAAATAAAGCCAAGATCAGTATTACTGATTTTTCCTTTTGCCTTGGGCTCCAATATGGCCCAGCTTGGCATAGGCTTCTAGCCTGTTTCCTGAAGGAATTCACCAAAAGACAATATTGTGGTTGTGTACTCCAGTCTTGTTCTGGGGTGCTCTTATATATGCATATTGGGTCCACTGGATCTTAAGTGCAAGTAAAGCAATTAAAAAAAAAGTCTTTCTATTCTCTGAAAAAAAATGATACACACGGGCAGATATATCATGAGTGTATAGTTCACTGACTTTTCATAGAATGAACCTATCCAAGGAACCAGCACCAGAAAAAGAACATTTCAGCACTGTAGGGAACCCTCTCCTTCT